ATTTCTCCATTGTTTCTGGAGGTATTGGCATAATAAAAAGATTATCACATTTACAGTCCCAGGTGTATCTGAATGAAACGTAAAACCAAAGCTATAAAAAAGTTAAGTAAAAAATTAAACACACACTGGTACAGGTATACTGTTACAGGCTTTTGCTCAATTGCTACAGCAGTACAGGCCTTCCTTATTGAGAAAAAAATATTTATTTTATCATTGTATAAAGAGTAACATTATGGTTTTAAATTCCCTGGGTATGATAGATTCATAATAATGCATGTATAATAGTATTAAATAAATACTGAGTATGATCAGCTCACAGGATGCTATAGAATTTCTGAAAATCTGCTGCATTTTTAGGGGGTACACAATATCTTTTGTGGTATTCCAACTAGATCCAATTAGGATGGAAATTCAGGGCCAAAGTTCAACAATTAACCTTTAAACAAAATAATGATGACATGAACAACATAAATTGTAACAAATTTATAAAGGCAACCAAGGCAGTGTGCAACAAGCAACGTTCTTGCCCAAGAATTGCCTATTTAATAAAGCCGAGAGTTATTAAATTACTTTTATATAACAAATAATTAAACGTACTTATACCTTAAGAAGAAATCAGAACATTTTGAAGGAAATAGAAGCCATTTGAGACAAAATATTTAATCGATGACTCGATGAGTGTTGACATGTGTACAAGCCGGTGTTTCATTCATCTCAAATTACTTGTTAAATGGAAATCACCCGTGCACTCAGTATCCTTGTTGTTCACACTAACTGCGCCTAACATATTTTAATGCTTTTGACGGGAAAAATTGAGATTTTATTGATATTTTCAGCAAAAAGTTAGCTCTCCACTCCTCTTGAAAATACTATGGTGCGCGCGAATTCCCGGAGAATGGGTACGAAATAGTTAATTGGAAAATACTGTACTTTTACCGTATTTTCTAATTAACTCAACTCGTGTGGCCAGAGCCACTCAACGATGGCTCTGGATACGAGATTGGTAAATTCTCAATTAGTTTGAAGTTTAGTGTTATTTTGCGTGAAAAATTAGTACCTTATCGTGCATCGTTATGGTGATGCGGAGACATCGAAGAAAATAGAAAACATGTCGTAGTTAAGGGCCTGTTTACATGGAGGTAGGGTGACCCTAGCAGAAGGGTTACCCTAGCAAGCGGGTTACCCTAATTCAATATGTTTTATAGGAAGCGTTTACATGCGCGCTAGGGTTACCCTAGTGGTAGGGTTACCCTATCAAAGAGATAGGGTGACCCTAGCAGCAGGGCTATCTTTTTGTTTACATAAGCCAGGTAAACGCGTCAGGTAGGGTTACCCTAGCAAGCGGGTCATGTTTTATACGTCCTACTGTGACAGACAAACAAGGATATGGCGTCGCTAGATTATACATATGAACATATCAGCCTTGCGAGTATTTTAAACGACACCAGAAAGTAAAAAGGATAAGCAATTTACAAATAAGGAAGCAGAGGCATAGAACGAAGCTTTGACTTTTGACGAGAACGATGCGAATGATGTAGTTTCGATAACAAATTGTCAAAGACGGCGAAAAGGAAGCAAAATTCCGGCGCATCCTCATCGACGTCAAAAAAAAACAAAATAAATGCTCTTAGTCAGCTGAACATGTCGAAAAACTGTTGTGTTGGACTATATCAAGGAATACATTACACTTATTTACGCAATGCGAGTAATAGACCACAACATTGAAATAACAGACCACGATATTGAAATAACCTCGGAAATAACAGACCACAACATTGAAATGCAGCAGCAAAGGCCCAATAAATAGCATTACACAACTTGCCGCTAAAACTTTGCGTTTCGGCGCCATTTATCTAATACAGACCGCTTAGCGACCACGCATAGGTAGGGTTACCCTATCCGGCCACATAACCCTAGCAGTAGGGTCACCCTACCTCATGTAAACGCTCGCTATTTTCTGACCCGCTTGCTAGGGTAACCCTCCTGATAGGGTCACCCTACCTCCATGTAAACAGGCCCTAAGTCGATCGACTCGGTGTTCTGATTTAAAGAACTGAAAAATAAAAGCGTGTTGACTGATATTGGGCAGGCAAATATGATTTTCTTCCAATATATTATGCATATTAATTTATCAAGTGAGGTTCGGTGGCCCAGTTGTCAGAGCAAGCGCCTCTCACCTCTGCATGCGCTCAAGGGTCCGATTCTCGCTATAGCTACTGACTAGTGTTTAAAAAATCGGTCATCGCTTCGCCAAAAGTAAGTCGGGTTTTCTCCATGCGTTGCGGTACCTCTCATAGGGAAAGTTGACACGATGAGTAAGGATGAACAGAGTTAGGAGTCTACTATCACAATTTTGCAAAGATAAAACAGTATAGGCTACGTATCTATTATTAGGTAAGCGTGCATCGCTAGTGATAATTTTTTTTCAGCAATGCAGATGGTTATCCAGTTTTTGCATAAAATATATCTGAAGAATCATACCAAATTAAAATTGTGCAGTGTAGAAAAAGTACTCCGTGGAATATTTATCATTTATAGACCCGGAGCGATGGGGATTCGGCGTAATATTTCCCGAAGTGATGATATTTTCCGAGGGGCTTTGCGCCGAGGAAAATATCACTGAGGGAAATATCGCCGAATCCCCCGAGCAGAGGGTCTATAAATTATATATTATACCGAAAGTTAAAGAACTCAGTAAGAGTCTATCAAGTTCTGAATAAACTTTAAAACTTGCTGATTATTAATATAAACTACGCGAATACAATGTTTAATTTCTTATCTGTACCTGAGTTGTTGACGTTTTCTCCGTAAAATATTTGAGCAAGTATCCTTTGGATCGTTGAAAATAACATACGTGTTGAAATATTTGGTTTACTTAATATTAAAATCTTCTGTAGTTCTGTACGAAATTAATACAAACATGCAACAGCTCGCGAACGCCATATTGTTTCAGAATTCAGAGCGTGGTGTCCACGCGTCGCGCGTGAGCGTGGGATACTATAATACCCCACGGTGGATCTGCCGTGGGATATTATATTATCCCACGCTGGATTGCGAAATCATGAATTTGAGTGAAATACCGTAAAAAATCATACTCCCACGTGGTACAAATGCTGTTTTTTCATTGGACAATTTGAATTTGAGTATAATATTCAATGAAATAAATAGAAAACCAAAACCAATAATAAAATATAATGATTATCTACAATACTTAAAACTGGGCAACAACGCAGTAAATGTATGGGCAGTATTTGTATCTAAATTTACCGAAACGACAATAATCCACCTTCTTTTCTGTTCTTCAAAGTCATACTATGGTTTAAAAGATTCGTGAACTTAAAAATGTACGGTAACATCTAAATGATATGAAGATATCAGTACCGGAGTATTTGCTCGCATACCATAGTCTCTGTGGTGTCAATGAGTATTTGTTTCATTCCAAGTTTGCATAAAATCGATGGGTCGTTTTTTAGAAATAATGTTAGGCTCTAATATTTCGCAGTGGCCCAAAATGTATCGTTCGAAAGTTATTTTCTTATACTCTGGTTTTATATACATTTTGGAATCCTTTTAGTTATATTTAGAAGAAGAAATTGTGGGGTCGGAAGGGGTAATAAGGGACAAAAGCGCAAGGGATATTTCGATATTCAAATGTCCGCGATTTCTAGCGATTATACTTGATCTAGAGCTCCTTTGATCATATTCTCATGTAAAATTGCCCTACAGAAATGCAAATAAGAAATCAGTTGAAGGGTATTGGAGATGGAAATTATCGAGTGGAAATTTACATATTTTCATTAAGCCAACCCAGGAACAGATACGAAAAATGCAACTTTAAGTCGCTGACAGCTATCGAACATGCAGCCCTCTAACCGAACTGAGCTACTGTATACTATTTAGCTAAATTGCATCTGTTCCTTGTTATAGGACTAATAAATGTATAGAAATCCCAACTCGATCATGTCAATCTCCAAAACCCTTCAACTATTATTCAATCGAGTGAGATGATAACAAAATCGTGATATTTAATCATAAATCACAATCAGTAAATGTATAAAATCATATTTTAAAATTTTAATTGCGCCCTGAACGAGGGCTGGAGACAAGAATATAATAAAACGAACATTTTTGTGAGGCGTTGGTTCCTTGACCTATTTTATAACGTGTAATTGTTATGTGTAATTCTCTGCGTAGTGCAGTTGTGGCTCCAGCTCATTATGTGTTTGCAGGAATACTCATTATCAATTAAAAGCTTTTTTGACATGTTCAAGTGACACGTAAATTTGATATTGGTTTCCAAAAACGATGCTGATAAAAAACCTGGACTACGGACGCCTTCCCAAATTGCTTGAAATCAGCAGGGCAATATAATCCATAGTGAACTGAAACAGCCTTTGTTGCAGGCCGGCAAAATTGGAAGTGGCCATAAGCCGATCTGGACAATACCATTGCAGAGGCGTAGCCAGGGCTGGGGGCGCCCCCCCCCCGGCAACATCCCCCCCCGTGATAAAATGTATTGTATAAAAAAGGGAATCCTTGATTATATAGCTTCATGCTGCCAATAATGCAAAAATTATGTAGAATATATGCTTTGCTGCGCATCAGTGTGAAACCTAAAATCTTGTTCGCTTATCTGCGGCACGCAGCTTGAAACGCATACCTTTTCTAACCCTAATTATTTCAATATGTATTAAATGAGGGTTTGATGAAGTTTAAACCAATCAGTTTTTTACCAGTGAATTTTTAACGCGCGGGTTCGGTGAAAATTCACATGTGTCGACAATTAATTTTACCCAGCACTGCATAGAATGCCTTGCGCGAACTTTGCGTCTCGAGGCACTGGCGGCTTGCCCCCACCTGGGTTTTTGTTGCTCCCCTGACCAAAAATCCTGGCTACGCCTCTGTACCATTGGTAGCTACAATTCTTATTCTGGCGTATATGATCAAATAAACATGGAAGACAGAAGAAATTTCGCCACCAACTAAATGAAAGGGAATTCAGGCGTTCGTATAATTTATAGTACTTTTCATAAGCCGGAATGATAATCGTATACCACTTGAGGTAAATCTATACGACATGAGTTGTATATGATTCTTATCATGGCGTGAACGCGTATAAGTTGTCACATTTCAAATTGTCCGCGATTTCTAGCGATCATACTTGATCTAAAGCGCATTTGATCATCATATCCTCATGAATCATATACGACTGGTCGTATCGTGCAAATGATATAGACACCAAACATTTCGTACTAATAACTCAACTTGCATGTGGACTTGAGACTGAGTCTGTTAATTTCCATGTAGTAGTAAAGAGGGGCCCTCTTGTTAAAATCCCATGACATGTCATTTGATGATTTGGGCTGTATTGTACGTTGAAAAATGCACAATTTTAACATTTTATATCCTCATACAGTGTACATGTATATGCAACATTTTCTTCCTACATTGACGTCGGTGTCATCATTTTAGCTACTATACTTCAATTTCTATTGACCATTCTCATTCTTTGTGCGTTTGAACTAAGTTTGTTCTAAAATTGTAGCCTATATGTTATTACCAAATATATCGAAATAACTAACAGTCGAAATTTAATACAAATAATTGAAAACCTTATCTATATGACGCTGATGACGGAAAAGATGACTTGCCTATCTATGTACCTTAATTGTTTTCCATTTCATTAGAGTTGTTGTTGGGTTGTCGTGAACATACATGTTCATTGTTCCTGTACTTTCTGATCCAAGTTTGAAAGGATTTTACAAACCCTACCATTTGATTTTCCATTCCAAAGAAATACAGGAACGGATTGCAGCATGAGTTTATAAAAGTGAAAGCGTTCAACCAACTCCATACAACAAATTCTTCGTTATCAGTTAAACTTTTGTTCACTGCTGAATACACTCTGAGGATGCAAGAGGGGAGGTAAGTTGCATAGAACAAGCACATAATGGCAAAAGTTGTAAGTGCACTTTTCCTTAGAAAGAAAAATCTCATTTGAGATCTTCCTGAAAGTTTGGAAATATTTCTCGCTTGCTTTCTTGCTGTTTGCAGTAAAATACCATATATTACAGAGAGTACGACAAGCTGAGCGAATGATATTGCAGACAAAAACAATTCGTAGGCATCATTTTTGTCGAGGGTAAAGCTGATACCATGTATGATTCCAAGAACAATGGCCGCTATCCATGATATCGCAATCAATGTCCAAGACACATTTGATGTTATGAGAATATTATTCCTCAAAGGCCAAATGACAGCTATGAATCGGTCGATTGCGATACATGTAATGGCATTGCCTGTTGAAAAAATACACACGACAAACAAGGACGCGTGTATATACATATATTCAGTCGCCTTTCGTAATGTGAGCAATTGTGTACGCCAAGGAAGATACGTTGTTAAAGCGATGAAGTCGGATATGGCTAAATTTATAATCATTTTATCCGAAGCAGTGCGTCGTTTGTGGTGACGAGAAACAATCAAATAAATGATTACACATAAATTTGCTGTAGTTCGAACCAATATTTGTGAAGAAATGAAAACTACCAACCATGTTGAATGTTGTGAATTTAGAAGCTTCGTTTCTTCAGTCATTTTTTATTTTGGCATTGACGACAAATAATGATAATTGATCATTTGAAAGTATGATGATCAGTTACTTCCAAAAAGGTACAAATTCCCCTGAATTTCCGACATCTGCAATTTACATCTGCGTCATTTTGGCCGCTTTTCAACAATCGCTCCAGGGGAAAAACGAGTCAATTGGAACCAATCGGTTCCTCTCGGCTGGAGGGAAAACGTGACTATATAATCTAGTATTTTGCTGTCTAATAAAAAAAAATTAATCCTCTTTGCTTTAGTTGCGTACGCATGATCGTGTTTTTTTTTCCAAATGCATTTCATCTAGGAAAGTATAAGATACTTGTTTCTAACTAACGAAATTATGCCGTTGTGGGCAAAGCCATAAACGAACTTGTGAGACAACGTAATACTCGTACAATATTAGTGACTATACATATAAGTACTTTTAAATCCTTAATTGCACATGTATATACGTTAACTTGACATGATTATTATTTGTCTGGAAAATTACGCATTTTATAAATCAATGCCTTTCCCAACGTTCTGTATGTCTTTTCATTCTAATTTATAGAAGAGCACCCACCTGAAGAAGCTTAAAAAATTCGTTTCTTCAGTCGTATTTTCCAGTTCTGCATTCACAAAAATAACAATAACTGATAATTTGCCAGTACGATGATTGTTTGCTTCTTAATACATTGAAATTGTGCTGAATTTCCGACAATCTGTTATCCACACTCAACATTTCCAACAAGTGGTTGCCTATTCTACGTCATTTCCTCTTCTAATCGACATTCGCCGCAGTTGGAAAATGAGTCAAGGGTACCAACTGGCTCCTTGCGGCTAGCGAAAGTCGTGAGTACAATCTTGTATTTTTCTGTTTGCTAAAAAAATTAAATCATATATGCATTAAGTACGTACGTATGATGATTCCAAAATCATATTTTGATAAGGTTTTTTTTCGTGTAATTTCATCTGGCAAAGTAAGAGACGGCTGATAAGAAAATTCTCAGAAAATAAAAGCGTAGTAATGACCAGTGAGCTCCATATATATCTGGAGCGACAATTCGAGTTCAAAACATGAAGCCAACTTCGTGTTAACCACGCAAGGAAAATTACTAGAAAGGGACTTATAACTCTTCAATTTCCGCCATCTTGGTAAGGAGTATGCCGAAATTATGCATTTTGACATCGATTTAAAGACTAATAATTATTAGTATAATTACATAGGTGATTATTGAAAGTTCTCCACGCTGATTGGTTGCCGTTGAGGTGATTATTACGCGATAATCACCTAAGCGATTTTCAAAATGGCGGCCGAAGCCTTTTTGTCAATTAAATGACAAAGAAATGTGTATTTTCTTATTTTTTTTCCAAATAATCACCTATGAAATTATACTAAAACAATTATTCACCTCAGGCTCGGTGATTATCGTGAATAAAAACCTCGACTTCGTCTCGATTTTTATTAAAACCTCGACTTCGTCTCGGTTTTCATGGCATAAAAACTGTTTCTGACGTTCGGAGCAATCGAACGTCGATGGCCGCCATCTTGGCTTCACTTTTCTCATTGGGCGAATGACTGAAGTTCGTGCTGCAGATATTCCACGATACGCAATTATTTGAAATATCCATTTTCAAATTTCAGTGATTTTACGCGAACACTTACTCATCGCTTATCAACAACATTGAAGTCTCAGGCGAAGGATTAAAAATTTTCAAATAAAACTTACGAAACAGGACAGAAATGTTCAAAACGTCAAAAATAACCCGCGTAACGTATGAATAAATAAATAGCACCGAAAAATATGTTTTTAGTTCGCTTTATTTCATATCTATCCCTCTTTTTAAACTAACAAAAACAAAACTTTCCATATAAAAGTCAATAAATATATGTGCCTGCCTGCTTTAAATGACTAAAATATCTGCAAACTTGTGACTCAAAACAGATATATTTTTTAAATTAATCGTGCTACGTGAGCAGTCAATCAAATCGCGCGATTCGCCAAAACAACCTATCCCATAATTTTAATAATAGGTTTTATTATATGACAATGACGTGATTTTACCAAATAAGGTCATGAAAACACGAAAAGTTTGAGAGCGGATTACGCGATAAAAAGACGTATTGCCTTCGCCTAAAGACGCATTACTCTCGTCTTGGTTAAGAAATTTAGATGATGCTTTCGTTTCCCCGCGTGCAAATAGCCCAGCATTAGTACCCTCGCCATGGGATTTGCGCCACGCCCTACGCCCTACCTGCGTCGCTCGAGGACAATATAATTGCAATCATAGATTTGTAATTAAGAAGACATATAAACAATTGAAATTACAAATAGCTATTATTCATAAGACTGGAAATACATGCATGCAGTAATCCTCCGCCTTTCTTAACACATGAAGTATAGAAATTCCACATGAAGTATTGCATGTTTAAAATGATAGTAGTCGCATGGTAACGTGAAAATTATATGAGAAAATAATGCGAGATAATTTTTTAACTAAAGAATCATTGATTTTCATACTCTGTAATGTATAGTTTTATGTCAAGTGGCTTTCAATACAGGCTAAAATTTAATGTATAAAATAGAACGGTAAAAGATCTCGAAACGTTGCCGTTAAACTGCAGGGGAAACTGAAAACACGTTTTGTCGACAGTAGTTTGCTCGAAAATGCGGTAAAATACAGTACTGATTTGCTTCGTAGGCAGAAGCTAGTTTTTTAATTATATTTTGGTCAAGCAATATTTGCTGTAGGTAAAGGATCATTATAAACACACATGAAAACACGATACGCTGTATTAATTGCCCCAAATGACAATAGCATCAATCATTACATTGCAATTTCATGTAAACACCAGCTTGCATAAAAACATATTATTTATTGAGTTACGAATGGCGTAAAAGTTTGCAGAGATGAATGAATTCGAAAACACAAAGCAAGTACGGTATTGAATTTTATATCTAATACTGAAATGTTCATAACACATACCCAAGTGCCGAACATAGCCAAGACAAATATTAAATTTATTAAAAACATCTGGTTCGCCTTCGACAAAATTCGTGTTTATGCCTTTCACAATTTGTTTCACGGTTGACAACCACCCATTCATGAAACGGCAGGCTTGTTTCCAGTTGAAAGCGAAACACATCGCAAAAATATTGTAAAACGGCAAAATTGCAAAATACATCTTTGCAAAATGAAAAACGTTTTTGCGCGAGCTTATATTCGCGCATGCGGATAACGTCGATTGTCCATCACAATAGTGTAGGACGACTTTGCACTTCGCTATGTTCTCAAATACCTTTTTATGTAAATTTATTTTTAAAATTTCAAAATTCTAAAATTTTAGCTGTGTGTCAACAAGTTGTGATAAACTATAATTGTTGTACAAATAATAAATTGAGATTTTGCAATGATTACAACTAACTTGGTTGGTATTGGGTTGGGAAGAATCGTTCTAAACATTTTATATGAAGGCATTAGAGTCAGCACATAACAAAACGAACATGTATAATGATGTAAATAATTTGAATTTCGGATTAGCATTTAACTACATATTATCAATTACTGAATGCAAATATGTCAATAATCTACGCGTATATATGAATTGAGACACGTACGTGTATTACCCAAATTATATAATATGCGAACATTTATTATACCGAAAACTAACTCGGCTTGAATGTGCAAGTCGTTACTACATATACACCGTTCCACTGCATATTTTCAATTTGTATAAACGTGAGAGTTGATTGTTTATAGCTATTTTAGCAAATACATTAAATTGTACTGTATCCATTTAATCTCGCATTTAATTTTGATCAATACATTTGATCTAGGGCTATATACGGAGAACACTTCAAATACATGCGGTTTAAATCAAGATGTACAAATAAGCAAATACATTAAATTGTACTGTATCCATTTAATCTCGCATTTAATTTTGATCAATACATTTGATCTAGGGCTATATACGGAGAACACTTGCGGTTTAAATCAAGATGTACAAATAAGCGATCACATATTTTTATAGAAACAGACGACAACAAGAGTCCTTTCGGAATGTTGAACTTGTTTCCGATATAGGACTTGAGAACTGTCAAATGTGATATTAACTAAATTGACAAGTTGTGTAATTTTTAGAATTTACTGCGGTTAATAACTCTGCCCCACGTATCCACCCTTACGACAAATTACGCTACATCCCAAAATCTATAGGATATCCCGAAGAGGTGAGACCTTAAACTGGTTGGACTGGTTGGTCTGTTTACTTGAATAGAAAGTTCAATATATGTGAAATGTAATAAACTTCAATAATTTTGCAAGCAATCACCTGATTATTCTAGGAACTAAACTGCAAGAGAAACAGATGTTAATTAAGAAACGAGTGCAACAAAGACTGTGAAAATTACCTAAATAATATTTTAGGAACGAAAATTCGGAAAAGTGGATCCATTTATCTTGAACACAAAAGCACTGGTATTTCCAAATTGAACAAAGAAAAGTTGAAAGGAAACAAAAAATCGATACTACGGCGCAGGCGCGGATCCAGACCGTGGCAAAAGTGGCTCGAGCCACGGTCAGATTTTTCCCACCCAGGATTTTCCGGGGTTCACCTTTGTTGGATACTGCATTAGACTGCATTACGCATTTTTAAGAAGTATATATTAGTTATTTGAAATACAGCAAAATTGAGCAAATATAGGTCTATAGCAAACAATTTGAATAATATCTTTTGTAATTGTTCTCATATTACAGTAATATGTGCTAAAAGCAGGAAAAACTTCCGAAATATATTCCTTGTTCAATAGTATAATTATCCAGTTAAACACTGATCTATAAAAACCGCCGAAAGCGTGCCGAATTGTGCCGAATATGTTCGGAAAACAGTCGTAAATTCGAAGCTGCGATCACAGCCACAAAATGCCACGGTCAGCGTGCAAAAAATTGCGCAATTGTTACTAAATATAGTAACTTTCTGCCACGGTGCAGCGTTGCAAACCAATCACAGGGCAAGTTCAGCCTCGTACCCAGGCGCAATTAACTAAAAATAGGCATACTACAGTTTTTTTATATAGATCAGTGGCTAAGATGAGCGAGCGCGCGGGGGTGCTTGGGGAGGACGCAGCGGGTTAGCGAAGCG